TAAATCATGAATCGCTACTACGGGCTATTAAAAAATTTGATTTAAATGAAAATAATGACCCCGTCTGTACTTCCGAATTTTTCTCACCAATTTTTCCCCCAAAATTAAAATTATTCCAAAATTTCAAATTAACTGGGAAAAGAAATCTGAAAGAAATACTTAATTCTGCGATTTATACCCAACCCCCATGTGCACAAAGCAAGTACTTAAAAAACGGTTTCATTCTTGACAACAGTAATTGGAACCAAATATATTCCTTGCCATTTACATGCTGTTCAGACTCAAAACTACAATGGTTTCAGTACCGAATGTTACATCAAATCTTAACTACCAATACATTCCTGAAAAAGATAAAAATAAAAGATAATGATCTATGCTCCTACTGCGAAAAAGAAAGAGAATCCTTAAAACATTTATTTACTGAATGCCAACAAGTTGTTCCAATTTGGAATATCTTTCGAAGTGCTGCGGTGGCTCATGGACAAAAGTAAGGAATGCCTCAATACGCAGATGGAGACGTATTTATATTGCAGAACCAGAAAATTACATTAAAGATTATGTTAAAGTATAGCGAAGTAGTGTGATGAAAAGAAGTGTACAAGTGTAGTGAGCCAAGGCTAACAATTATTATTTATTGCCTTTTTGTGTCCAAGGCAGAGCAATTAGAAAAGAAGGCTGCCATTTTTATTCTTCAGGATTTACTTAAGTCTCCCCCTATCTATCTCAAGGAAGTACTCAAGTTAAGTAAGAAATATGACTAAAGAATGTTTGTGGTCTCCCATTTTACCCAGTGTGAGAAAATGCTCAGATTGAGTAAAATAAACTTAACAATAATCTTAAGTTGAGTAAAAAAATGTTTTCAGCAAATTTTTGTGGCCTCTGAATTTACTCAAGATTAAAAATTCGAGTACATTTCTTGCCTTCAGAAATTTTTGTGGCCCGGGGCAAAATATTAAAATAGTCATGAAATCGAATCTATTTCTACTGTTTCTCATGTTTAGTCCGAAACATCTGCCTCTAATCCAGCCTCTGATAGATATCTTGACAGTTATTGGCTGGAGTGGCTGGCAACTTTCAAACTAGTTATCAGAGGCTGGAATAAAGGCAGGTGTTTCGGTCTAAGATATTTTATCAAAGACAAATTAATAACCTTGGATTTTTATATGATTTATTTATCCTATAGTAAATCTTAGTATAATTTCAAAAATAATATCTGTAGGATGGTGAGCGTTATCAGTACCCTTATTTGTGGCTTCATTGCAACTGAAATAAAGAGAGAAAAATGTATCACTGCATTGTTAAAGAGATCGGACAGTATAAGCTGTAAGAGTAAGCTGAATACAGACAAAGAATTGCAATTGATGGAGAAAAGAACAAAGTTGTCAAACATTTTCATAAAATTTCCAGCTTACTCTTAATCGAATTCAAACTATCTTTCTACCAAAATGCACACTGGAACAGAATTCAAACCCAGAACAAGCATAATTTGGTATGTGGTCTGATTGAAAACAAAATGAAGGGGTGGAGTCGAAAGGGGACGAAGAGGGCGATATGGGAAAGGGGCGAAACGAAGAAGAGACGAAATAGGAAGGGGGCAATATGGAAATACACCAGCTATTAGACTGAACGTGAAGCTACGAGGTGGATTCCGTGCTAAAAGTTGGAACTTAATAATCGGAACTTAGGGTTGTGGTTTGATCTGATTATATGGAACTTGAAGTAATTAGGTTGAAACATTGGGACTGAAAGCCAATTGCTAATTAGCAAATTGGTCGGATGCTGAGCAAATAGTCTTTCGGTAAAGTCTCTTCGTGAATGAAGGCGATCAAAGGAAATATACAGTATGATACTCCTTGATGAAGAATTTTGATGAAAAAAATGCAAGCCTTTTTTATTTTCATTCAAAATAATCCATGTAAGCATAATTTAGTTATAAAGACATCCTGCGAAGGTCGAGTCATTCGGCCTAAAACAGATTCTTTGGTGCACCGACACTTGCGTTGTCTAAGCAATCGAAATCAATTTCAACATTACATTCAGTTTTTGCGCTCCTTGGTGACAGTTCGACTGAACTAGTAAAAGTTTACTTATTAATGATAAATCCTTTTCAAACGAATCAGAAAACACAATGTGTGAAAGGTTTTAACATGAACAGGATTAAAACACAAAGTCATCATAGAATTAAAAACTAGAACGCAAATTGAACGTTTCAAGGGAGATAACCCCCAACCCCCAGTCTTTTACCGACTGATTACGCGTAGCAGATATAAACCACATGCTAGTATCATATATAGACCACATGCTAGTAACAGATATAAACCACATGCTAGTAGCAGATATAAACCACATGCTAGTAGCAGTTATAGACCACATGCTAGTAGCAGATACAGATCACATGCCAGTAGCAGATTTAAACCACATTCTGGTACCAGATAGACCACATACTAGTAGCAGTTATAGGCCACATTCTAGTAAGAGATATAGGCGTAGACCACACGCTAGAAGCGATTTAAACCACATTCTAGTAGCAGATATTACCAAATTCTAGTAGCAGATATAGACCATATACTAGTAGCAGTAATAGGCCACATTCTAGTAACAGATATAGGCGTAGACCACATGCTAGAAGCGATATAGACCACATTCTAGTAGCAGATATAAACCAAATTCTAGTAGCAGATATAGACCAAATTCTAGTAGCAGATATAGACCACATTCTAGTAGCAGATATAAACCACATGCTAGTAGCAGATATAGACCACATTCTAGTAGCAGATATACACCACATTCTAGTAGCAGATATAAACCACATTCTAGTAGCAGATATAAACCACATGCTAGTAGCAGATATAACACCACATTCTAGTAGCAGATATAGACCACATTCTAGTAGCAGATATAACCACATGCTAGTAGCAGATATAGACCACATTCTAGTAGCAGATATACACCACATTCTAGTAGCAGAT